GTTTTCCTTTGAATGAAAACTACTGGCCGGTTACGCCTTTAGATTTACTTAAACACATAGTTACTAAAAGAAATGCACCTGTGAAGGGTATATTAGCATCGGTACAGCCGAAATTAACCTTTTTTTCTTGTTTTTTCTGGAAAACAATTTTTTTTTTATATATGTATATGTCACACACTTTAGTTTTTCACTTAAATTTTTTTGTTATTTTGTATATGTCACTTAATATTATTTAACCGTTGAATCTTTTTTTCAATAGTGTCTTTCTTTGCTGCTCAAAGAAACAATGTTTGAATAGTTGCCCACTTCACTTCATCCGTACGACACTTACCACTTTCTTTTACCCTTTTGTGCTCTCGCGTGTGGGTGGGTGGATGTGTGCGTCCTGTTGGTGTGGTGTATTGGAGTGTTGGCCTTGGTGTCCTGTGTTGAGGTAGTGGCTTTAGGGGAGGCTTATCTCATTTAGCCAGTGTCAAACTCCTACGAACTACGCCTTGCCATCCACGAACCAACGAGGTCGTCGAACGTTGGTCATGGGACATTGGACAAACCGATACTACTTTCCTTCAAACTGAATATTGGAGTATCAAAGGCTGAGTCAGTTTTTGGGATTACGCTACGCTTGCCATCCGAATTTTAAATTAACTATCCTGTACCAGTTAGTGAGACAGAAATTGTTACTCTTCTTCTTCTTTTCTGGAGTAGACACCGCTTAGGCCATTATAGACGAGTTAACAACAACTCGCCAGTCGTTCCTTTTTTTCGCAAGATGGCGTCAAATGGATACTCCAAGCCAAGCCAGGTCCTTCCAAGAGGTCTTCCTCTTCCTCTGTTTCCCCCGGCGGGTACTGTTTTGAATACTTTCAGAGCTATAGGGTTTTCGTCCATACGGACGACATGATCTAGCCAACGTAGCCGCTATCTTTCAATTCGCTGAGCCATGTCAATGTGTTCGTATACCTCATACACCTAATCGTTCCGTCGAATGCGATATTCGCCGGCCCAACGCGCAAAGGACCATAAATCTTTCGCAGAACCTTTCTCTTGTCGATTCATCAGATGTTGTCTTCGTCCCTTCCTCTGCATCATATATCAGGACAGGAATAATGAGTGACTTATGAAGTTTGGTTTTTGTTCGTCGAAAGAGGACTTTACTTATTAATTGCCTACTCAGTCCAAAGTAGCACCGGTTGATGCCTTGTCCTCGTTCACTTCCAGACCCATTTGCTTCGCTGTCTTATCCAGTTTTGAGAAAGCAGAACTAATGGCGCGGGTGTTGAGGCCAATGATATCAATATTATCGGCATAAGCCTTAAGCATATCCTTATAGAAGGTACTTGCTCGATTAAGTTCTGCAACTCGAATTATTTCCTCAAGAGCAGATTGAAGAAGTCAAACGAAAGGGAGTCGTCGTGTCTGAAGTCTCGTTTGGTATAGAACGGTTCGAAGAGGTCCTTCCCGATCCTGATGGAGCTTTTACTATTGTTTAACGTCAGTTTATACAGTCATATAATTTTTGCGGGGATACCAAATTCAGTAATCGCGGCAATAAGGCAGCACCTCTTCGTGCTCTCAAACGCAGTTTTCAAATAGACGAAAAGGTGGCGTGTGTCGATTGTCTTCTCACGGATCTTTTCCAAGACTTGGCGCATGGTGAATATCTGGTCGGTTGTTGATTTTCCAGGTGTAAAGCCATCCTGATAAGGTCCATTCAGTTTACACACAAGACGCTGCGTTATTTAGGAGACTTATCCCACGGTAGTTGGCGCAGACTATGGGGTCTTCCTTTTTGTGGATTGAGCACGGTACAATTAAACTCCATTGATTGAACATGCTTTCGTCCGACCATATTTTACATAAAAGCTGATGCATGATCCTTATCAGTTATTCACCGCGGTGTTTGAGTAGCTCAGTCGGCAATCCATCGGCTCCCGCTGGTTTGTTGTTCATCAGGCGGGCAATTGCTATTCGAACTTCTTCATGGTCGGGCAATATACCATCTGCTCCATCGTCAACGATTGAGGAATCGGGTTCGCCTTGTCCTGGCGTTATGCTTATACTGCCATTCAGCAGGCTGGAGAAGTGTTCCTTCCATAATTGTAGTATGCATCGGTTACCAGATCACCTCAGGGAGTTCAACAAGGGAAGTTGTCACTGAGTTGCGACAAATAATGCGCGACCTACGTCTAGTCAACACGTCTCAGCATACTACTCAGAAGTTATTCGTGTACTCAGATTTAAAAACTCCCGATCAGATTTTCATTCGCAACATGGCGGTACGGCCATCGTTATCAAATCCTTTCAAAGAGCCTTGCAACGTACTTCTCGTCTAAATTAACCACAAAGCAGTCAATATTTCTCTCCACGGTTTGAAACCTGAACACACTGCTGCAGTACCTCATTTCGGAGTCTTAGTAAGGCATGGTAACTCTACCTGCTACTTTAACATTTTATTTTGTACGCTTTTCTTTTTCTTTTCCTTTTATGAATATATATCAGACACGTTCTCTTTCTTCTTGGCAACGCCTCACATATTTGTGTCGTTTTGTCATAACATCTTAAGTCTTAAAATCGTGTTTGGAGATATTAACGATTTTGCATAAAATCATGTGTGCTGCAGTTTAAAAAAAATGTTTAGAACAATAATAGTTTAACTATTATTAAACTAAAATTAGGCAAGTTTTCAAAAATAGCTTGTTTGAAAGTATTGTTCTTTTGTTGTCTAAGAAACAATGCCTTAACTAGACTTAAGATTTCGTTAAATAAAAAGTATTAAGATGGGGATATATTTTGAACTGTTTCACAAAACCGGGCTTATGTACATCAACTCGCCAGTCCTTCTTCCTTTGTAATCAGGTCCTTCTTCGGCTGGTGTTTCCAACAGAGTGGAAGTTTTCCTCTTCCTCTGCTTCCCCCGACATACAGCGTCGAATACCCTCAGATCTGGAGTACCTCTGCATAATATAGCAACTCCTGGATGATGAGTGACTTGTAGAAAGTCCACTCTCGAGGAAAAAAGACCAAATTCTACAAGTCACAAAACACATTAGAGTTATAAAGAGTCGATTGGAAGGGGGAGACGCCGACCACTTTCCATTGTTTCCCATATAAAATCATTTTATATTTGGATTGTTTTGATTTAATAAAATGATTACTCACATTTATTGTGCTATAGTTACTTCTATAACTATTTGTTATATTTCTAGCCCTCTCTGAAAGTTCAATAAGAACTAGAGCAAATATACAAAATGAGACCTAATGTCAACGCATGTAGAAATATTTTTAGTTTCTCACAATTGATAGCAATACAAATGGAACTGATTCAAAACAATTATAGCACCCAGTTACGTATGTCGTGATAAAACTTATATGGAATAAATCAATCACGAGCTGCTTTGTGCATGGTACATCATCAAAATTCTAGGAAGTTGTTTACCCTCGGCTTAATTCATCATTCTAACCAGTAGCCTTTACATTCTTGATCAGTTGGATGTTTCGTGGAACAACGGTTTCCAAATTTCCTAGTAATTAATATACCAAATTTTTATACTTACAAATGTTGTAAACATATAATGATAGCGATGATCATTCATCTGTAGTTGAAGAATCTGAAATTATTTGAAAAGGTGTAAGATAGGTATTGAAAAAATTTACTGTATCCTTACTGCTCGGAAGAAAACATTTATGTTTGTGGGATTTGTATCTACAATAATTTTATAAATATCCTTCATTCGTATCGCTCGTAGAACTTGACGATAAGTTTTCGGTGACGTCTGACGAATGTATAGTTCTGTTCGGATATCTGCAGTTAAATGCAGCAAATCTTGATGATTGAAAATACCTACGTGAACAGTGTAAAATAAAAAAATATAAATCTTATAAACACACCACTCGTTTGCTTTCCTTGACTTACCCAAATTGTCTTCATAGAGTACAGCAGTTTTCGTCCAATTTAAAAATATCATCAAATCTTTATGAGCCAAATTCATGAGTCGCTGTGAGGGGTACAAATTAATAGATAATTCCTTATTATTTTCATCTAAATCAATGCGAGACTCGATGTGTGGAATACCAAACGATGTACATATTGATTGCACATGATCCGAAAGCAATGCATCTGATGGCCCAAAAATGACGTGGACACCCGATTCCAATTGTCGACAAATTTTCTTAGTTGTCCGAAATGAATCATCCCGCGCAGCGTACTCTATGTCGTAAATAAGCTGCGTATTTGATAATAGCAATTTGTCCTTATTTATGCGATACACGGCATATTTAAATGCATATTCAATGCTACTATCTCGTTGGTCTTCTGTAAAAATAGCACCTGTACCAAATATATAATAAATAGCTCAATTTAACTTAAGGGCACTTAATAAATACATTTTGAAAATTAACAGAAAAAAATGTTTTTTCATGCACACGGGTGTTGTTGCTCAGAGTGTGGGCAGATAGTGCACGTACCCATATCACTAGTCTTTTTATCATAAAACGATATACTGATACAAAATAAAAGGTATTGCGGTCCTCATATTCGGTACTTGGTACTTGAAAAGTTATGGTACACAGTTATTTTGAATATTTTTAGACACAAGATGACAAAAAAATATGAACCCGAAATTAAATAAAGATTTTTAACTTACGTCAAGAGTGTAAAAAATTATGTTTAGGTTTCGATAACCATTGATTACAATCATACGATGGTGGCACACCTTATCACATGACGCAGTAATCAGAAGTTTTACGGGGAGCTATAGCTTTTTGGGATCTGAGGATAGTACGGTTGCAAAGTTGAATCTTAACCAAGACAAGAAGTGCGGTTCTATTTGACTCAACACAAAAAACATATCAAGTTCAAATAAATGTTACATATTGGTTGTTTATTATCGATTATAAAGATATGCTTAGTGAAGTGATTTGTATGGTTATTTGTGGTAATGAACGTATTTCACATACATGTATACACATATATTGAACAGATGAATTCCATATGATTATGTGTACAAGTGTTAGTATATAGATTTTAAATTATGTTGTGAATAGTATGTTAGTGGTAAGTCAATTATAAGGGTACAATCTTCTGAAATGAACAAATTGCATCTAACAGTACCGAAATTGAGCAATAACAAATCCAGATAAACCCTTTTATGTTGGGAAATGTGAAACAAAATACTCGCTGAGTTTTATATACCGCCTATAGTTACTTCTTGATTGGCGTAGTCACCGCGTACGCGATTATAGCCGAGAGCTTATAGTTACTACATATTTATTTATTTAGTTAGGTCTTAAAACTTAATCATGGTGACGCTGTGTGATTCTTGGCTGATCGAAATAGAAAAGTCGACTCGAATCTATTTTTTAGAAAATATCAAAGACGTAACATGTTAATAGTTTGTGGGATTGTCAAAAATAGATAAAATCGTTAGACCCATATATCGAATATACAAATTTCAAACTATACCCATTTAATAGGGGGAAAAAAGACTATTGACATTTTCAGAAACAAACAAGGTCGAGGGAATTCTCACCTCACCACGAACTTGCACTAAGATTATTTTATTAATTTTTTAACCATTCGTTTTTAGGCGCCTTGATCGCTCTTTCGCACAACCACTTCAAGTTAGCTAAGTTCTCTTGTAAACTCTGAAACACCTCATTCATAAGGTTATCTTCCGAGCTAACAACATTGAAAAGCAGGCTGTCAAAAGTTATTTTGCAGTTGTATCCGACGGCATGTGACATTTGCCGACCTCGAGAAGCGTCTGTGCGAAGAGTTCAGACTACTGATCATTGAAGAGCTGGACCCTCAAATTCGTATTGCGCTGTACCACTCTATCTTATCAAACAACGGTCAAGCCTTGAGATACGATACGTACGTTTTTCTCGTCTGCCGCGTAACCTCTCTCAATAATCGGCAACGTCTGCCGGAAATCACCTGTCAGCAAGACGATCACACTGAAGATTTGATTGCTTTGAATATATTGAAACTGCGTTATTGTGCATTCGTCAATTTGCACCATTGAAATAGAGCATAGCGACTACTACATTTGCTGATATTGCAAATGGACGTTCTTCACTTACAAAGTTCAGAGTGAGCTTGCTTACTGAGTGTGCGATTCTGCCACCACTATTCAAGGTTGCGGCTATTCTGGAGAACGGAATGACTTTGGCCCTGCGCAACTGTGCCAGCAGCAAGTTCAGTAAGAAAATTTCCCCTGGTGTTTTCCCGCTGGCTCCGCAGTTAATAAAATAACTGAAATAAAAAAATTCATTGATATCTCAAACCATTTTTGTTTTATTAAAAAAAACTTTTATAGGGCTCTTATTGAAAAGCTCGCTCCTAAAGTTAAGGCGACTGAATCCGAATATCGGTAGTAATTAAATAATTTTGACTCGTTGTTGGATTGTATATATTTTCATGGTGAAGTGGTAAACCATACCAAAGCGAATTGTCAAAAGAGCGATCCCTATCGGTCTAGTTTTTTAGAGCCCTCTAGTTATTTAGAGCCCCTCTATAAATGGATATTTCTTTGGTTGACTTGAATTCACACAGCCACAATGTCATAACCAAAGTCTGACCAAATTAGTGGAGAACTTTCCGTGGCATATAATAAGTTTCAGGGCTTCGTTAATCATGGTTTGCTATTGTTACCCTTTGGTATAGGCGAGCGATATTTTGGGGCAAAGTGTTCTTTCTTCTTTTGTGATTGTTTTGTAATGTTATACTATAATTAGGCAGTTGTTCAACCGACAACGATGGACGTGTGTTAAGTAGGGCTACAATGTGGAAACAAGCTAGCAAGCTCGATTATAAGCGAGTTTTAGGGTTTCATAGTGGTGAGCGAGTAGTACTTTATCATATGTTTTGTCGATTAAAGACAAACTACGAGCAGTGAAACGATTCCACGCCAGCCAGCAGTGTGAATGTCCAACGATAAACTAGTTGAAACATCCTTTTATTTACTTGGAGTTTATAACTATTGGAATTACCATGAGCAAGAACACCAGGGGCTTTCAGGAAAGCCCTCAACCTCCCCTCTATACCCACCAGGGGCTGAGCATCAGTCATCTTAGATTTCAATTTTGCATAGTAAATTGTATTCTACTTCTTGAGACCTTTCATTTGATACCCATGTTGATGGGATTGATAAAACCTACGCTATCCGCCATTTTGTAGCGACAGCCATCTTGGATTTAAATTTTTTATAGTATATTGTAGTCTGCTTGTTGAGCCCTTTCATTTGATACCCGTATTGATGGGATTGTTGAAACCTACGTTATCCGCCATTTTGTAGCGGCGGCCATCTTGAATTTATAATGATAATGAATAAACATAATTGTATTGTCACCAAAAACCCAAAGTGTATACAAAATTTCAGATTAATCGGTTGACAGGATCGGTCATCAGGATGTTAAGAAAATATTATATACCGAATTTCATTGAAATCGGTTGAGTACTTCCTGAGATATGGTTTTTGGTCCATAAGTGGGCGACGCCACGCCCATT